ATAGGTAGGCACCTTCTGAACATGCCGTGAGGTTTATTTCTGATAGATGTCCTTCTGTACGGGCTACGAGATCACCAGACCGAAGCCATCAGGTCTCCTTAAGCCTCAGAAAGCAGGCTTAGACCGCTACAAAAACTACAATCGCTAATTATCGCCACAGGCACCTCTCAACCTCACTGCTTTTCCTCTCCTCATGGGATGTAGTTACTCAACGAAAAATGCACAAAGGCAACTAACTATTGCACTACAGAAGGGACAGATAGAGTCTGAAAGATGTCGCTCAGAGCCTTCTGGTTACTGTCCTCAAATCCTGTTTACTTCACATCCGGCTGGTGTGTGTGTGTGTGTGTGTGTGTGTGTGTGTGTTCTGACTACCCCAGTTCACCCCTACCATTCATCCCTGGAGGCTCTGGGACTCTCGGTTTCCTCCAGATAACGGGTTATCCCTTAGCCATGCTGGGAGAAAGCCATCCCAGGCCTTGACCCCAGCCTCCAAGGCGGACATGGTCGGTCGCGCCCTGCCGGCCCTTTGTTCAAGAGGCAGAGGGCTAGGAGCAGCTGCACCACGGGAGAGCCACAGCGCAGGGCGCCAGGAAATCGGAGTGGCGCTGCCGCCTTCTCTTCCCACTCTGGAGCCCAGGAACCATTCCAGCCCTGGCATCTCTCATGCCCAATTCTGCCTCCCCCCCTCCACCCATAATTCTTCAGCGGTTGAACAAATGCAGTTCCTGGGGCCCAGTCTAGTACTCCTGCCTGGCTTTCGCTGCGGGGCAGCATGGGACACTTGAAATGTCACCGGTCGGGATAAATATTAACACAAAAGCAAATGGACGTGTGCAGAGCCAGTTATCAATCAACCAAGTTATCAATCAGCAAGGCCACTCACAGCAAACACGGCCCAGGTTGGGTTGAGTAAGACTTTCTCAGGGCCACTTCCAGGTAGAACCCCCACCTCCTGCCCCCAGTTTAGGTCTGCCTCTAACACAGAGGGGCAAATACCCGACCGCAAGGGGGCGAAGTACCAGGTGCTGAAGGGCAGACCATCTTCACGTAGGGCTCTGGAGGTCTTCTCATCTCTGACAGGGTCTGCATTGCCCAGCACACAGCCTCACCAGGGCTGAGGACCTGAGCCGACACACCGCCTTCTGGGTGCACACTGCTAGAGCCGCACTCACGTGTGGGTGTCTCTTACAGTCTCTTCCAGCTCCTGCCAACGGGCCAAAGCCTTCTGGAATATTTAATTGGAAGCTAATCTCCTCCTGTCTTGATAGACGCCCACATCAGAGGCGGGGCACCCAGCCTAGCTTCCCCACCCCACTCGGGACCAGAAGCTGAGTGCGTCTGGTCACACTGCGTTTTAATGAGCGGCAGCAAGCATTACGTTGAGGCAACATATATTGATTTTTAAAAGGTAGTTAATTTGGTGAGAATTTCCTCCAGTCTTTCACCAGCGCTTGTAATTTATACACCCTTCTGACGCCTCCCCAAACATACTGCCACGTGCGGAGGATTTTGACTCTCCAAACATGCTACGTGTAACACGGGGCACAGGAAGGCAATTGAAGAAACCACCCTTTCCACTGGGGAGTGTAGGAACTCAGTCGGGCCTTAAGAGGGGGCTGAGAAAAGATGAGGAGTTAGTCTTAAGTGCAACAGCTAGCAAAGCTTCAGTGGCTGGTGCTGTGGAGCAGGCCCGAGTTCCTGCAGTGGCCATGCCAAAGCATCAGGCTATCAGTCCTCAGACTCCATCTCTGAGACCTGCTAGTCACCATCCCAAGGACCAGAAACCGACTTCTCTTAAGAAGGGGAGAGAAGGAAGGAAGGAAAGAAGGGAGGAAGGGAGGAAGGAAGGAAGGAAGAAAGAAAGAAAAGAAAAGAAAAGAAAAGAAAAGAAAGGCTGTGACTACCGTGGCAGAATGGATGGTTCTGGGTTCCTTGCCTGAATACCCCACCCCCTCACTGAAGTCCAATCCTTCTCAGTCCTTTATGTTACCGAAACAAAAATGAAAGAGGTGGTGCTCCACTCTGTCTCAGGACACCCAGTGTCCTTTGGCTTGGTGTCTGCTGGAGCCTCCTACTTTCCACACATTCTAGGAAAAGGCCACATGCTTGGAGCCAAGAATAACACTAGATCTAGTGTACAAACACCCTTTGCTGACCTTCTGGGTCCCCTGAGCACCTGCTCAGCACCCAACTCATGCCTTTGGTGTGCAGGTTCTAGAACTTGGTCTTCCTTCACAGGGCTACCCAGCACCGAGCATCCCCCCTCCCCAGCTCAGTTTTCATATCTGGGGGTCAGAGGGCCTTGCACAGGTTAGGTTTCCAGGACTGGACACTCATCTCAGCACCGCACCTGTCAGTTCGTCCTTTCAGGGTGTGACAGAATACCACGTGGGGTGTCACTGATATTTGGAGTGTCTTCACCAAGTGGTGGAATGGGACTTTAGGGAAGGAGCACGCTTTTTTATCCACACTTCGGTGTCCCACACCGGCTAGCCTCAGAGCACTACGTGCCTCTGGCTTCAAGCAAGGGTGGATGGGAGGTTCTAAAGGCGGAGCAGTGGGGAGAGCAGGAAGATCAGCTACTCGGCGGGGACTCAATGGGCCCACCAGGGGCTCCAAAGCTACATAAAGTCATAGGTGGGACCGTGAGACTTAGGCGCCTCATTTGGCATTTGGTTGGCTCTGGTCCCCTTTTCCTTTGCCTCATCAGGCTCCTGGGCTCACTAACGCGAGCCTGCTTTAAGAACTTTGGAGCAAAGGACTAAGAGTGCAAAGGCTGGAAATTCTAGGCGGTCAGAGGCTGAACCAGGGCGGCACCTACCACCGAAGGCCTCTAGAGCCCTGATGTAGGGAACACTAGGGTAGCCTCTTCGGCTAGGATCCCAAGCTTGTCCGCACCTGCCTCTCCCCAGCTTCTCATTGGCAGGCACCGGGGGGGGGGGGGGGGGCTGGGGGGCTCGGCCTCATGCTTTGATTTTAGTCGGTGAAACGGCTCAGTGCCCTCGGCTCAGAGCGGATTGACTGTCTCTCATTCTCTAGGGACGAATTAATGGAGAACGATCAGTTAATTAACAAACCCTCATTCCAGCGTTTACCTTTCTCTTCACCAAGACTCAGACCTGGGCGCAGGGCTCAGTTGAGGCTTGAGGCGGGGGTGCGGAGTGGGGGAGGCGCGTGGACACTGGAGTCAATCAACGCGGCAACCTCCACCCAGGTCTCAGGAACTCAGTCCGCCCCTAGGCTGCCCTCTTCTCCCGTCTTCAAGGGTCGCCGAGTGTGCCTGAATCCCTGGTGCGGTTCATCATCTGGGCTCAGCTGTCCACTAGGTCTCTTGGCCCACTACAGGAGCCAGGCCTGGTGCCTGTACTTGGCAGCTGAGACTTTCAGTGCTCACAAATCAAACAGTGGGCCAGGGATTTTGAACTGGGAGACTGGCTTGCTGATTTGGGGGACACTTACACACCCCCACCCAGTAGCAAAGAGACTTAGATGAAAAAAAATCACGAAAACGAAAAAGCAAGTTTATCAGCGGTGATCCCTGGGCTCAACCAGGAGGTTCCTGGGGACCTGGTCACTGTCTGTCTCTGTCCCTCTCCTTTCCACAGCCGGTTATACGCGCAGCGCATTGTGGTAACCCTTCCAAAGCAGCCCGCCACGCATACATCGCCTGCAGGTTTGGAATCTGTGTACACACCCCATCCAAGTGTGGTTCCCCGGACGCGCCGCCTCAATAAAACAGGGCAAGAGTGGGTCGCCGAAGCCAGCTCAGTCAAATATTGACTGGCGGCTTGGGTAGTGTCAGCCCCGCGCCGGGTATGTGCCCTGAGCAACCGGAGCTAGTTTTAGGCATTCTTCATCTCTTCCTAAACCCACTATGCTCCGCTGAGAACCACACACCCAGTGTTCCACCACGTTCCTAGAGTCTCTCGGCCTGCGGCTCAAACGCCTGCAGTTCTGTCCCCGAACACAAATGCGGCCCCGAAGTCACCGAGGCCGCCTTGTTCAGTCTTCGAAGACTCCCACAGCCCAAGGCACCGAGTCCCTGAAGGAGAAGGTCGGCTGCCTAAGCTGGCTCTTCCAGGTCTAGGGAAGAAAGGGGAGGCGGAGCGGGACGAAGCGCGCCCAGCCTTCTCTCATTCCCTCCCACCTTCTGTCCCTTATCTCGCCCACGCGCCCATCGGCTCACCTGCTAAGCGGAGCGCAGACATGCGCTGGAACTCCGGCTCCTGCAGCCACTTCCACATTCTCCGGAAGGTCTCCCGGCCGGACTTGAGTTTGCTCCAGGGCTTGGGGTTTCGCAGCAGGTCCGAAAGGGTCCCCTGGGAACGGCAGAGCACCCTCTGCGCGAAGATGGCCTGTGGGATGCTGTAACGTTTAAGCTCGGTGGTGATACGCTGCGCCACCTCTTTGGTATTGATCTCTTCCATCTGCCCTGAATTACTTCCATTGCTGACCTGCGAGCCGGTCACCGAAGGGTTGGGCTCCCGGGCTGTGCCCAGGAGCTGTCCGTGGCCCTGGGCATTCAGGTGGGCATGGGGATGGTGCGGAGGAAGGCCGTTGATGGGCACCATGCCGGCCGAGGTGGGCGTGAGGTGCTGCTCTCCGTGGCGACCGAGCATGGCAGGGTGGTGGGCTTCAAAGCCATTTGGGGTGAGCATCTTGTCGGTGGGCATAGCCGCTCCGGGATGAGCATAGTGGGGAAGCCCTTGCTGGGAGTTGTGAATGCTGCCCAGACCGGAGCCAGAGAGGGGCGAGAGGCTCTGGCCCATGCCAGCCACGTCCTTGTGGTAGGGGGTATAGAGGTTATTCATGGAGGCCAGCCCGCGCTCATCCCGCATAAGTGTGAAACTACCGCTCACGTTGCCCGCCAGGCGCTGGTGGTGGTGTGGGTGGGGGTGGTGGTGGTGGTAATCGCTGCCTCCGCTGCCGCCGTCCAGCAGGGACGCCATGCCCATGGAACGCGGGTGCGCGGGAGGCAGGAGGCCGCTGAGGTGCCCCACGGAGCTGCGCGCGTGAGGGCTGCCGCCCAGCAGGTCGGCAGGGGCGGGCCCCGGCTCATGGCTCCCCCCGTGCAGCTCGCCGATCGCCTCCATGGTCAGCTGCGCGTTCATCGTGATGCGGGCGAGCGAGCTGCAACATCGATGTGGCCGGGCAGAGGCGGCGAGGGGGGGACGGAGTCCAGTCTTCACATCGGCTGCCGGCGACTGTGGCCTTTCTTCCTCTCACTGTGGTGATCTGTGTCTCTTGCTCTTTCTCGGTGTGTCTCGCCTTCTCTCTTGCTCCCACCTTCCCCTCTGCTTTTTTTTTTTTTTTTTAATATTAATTTCCAAAAAGGACCCGCGCTGTTGGGAGAGCGCGGTGCCCCTAGCCCGCCCAGCCCGGCCCCCTCTCGCCCCTCTCCTTCTTAGAATCGTGCTGCCCCCTGCTCCCTTGACGCGGCCCGTGCGACTGCCGCGGCTGCTGCTTCCCCGCGCCGCCCGCCAGCTCGAGCCATGGCTCGGTTACTGTTGCAGACTGTGGCCGCGATTCGGTAGCCGCCGCCGCTGCCGCTGCCCGCCCTCACGCCCGCCGGGCGCAGCGCGCATGCGCGCTTCCAGGCCCCGCCCCCTCGGTCCCAGAGCACGGGCTCCGTGACGTCCCAGTACAAATGAACCCGGGGCGGGCGTGGGGGCGGGGGCGAGCTTTCTCGTCGGCGCCGGGTGGCCCCGGAGAGTTGCGCACGTGCATGGGACGCGCGCAGAGCGCGACCTGGAGCCGCTGCTACAGTCCCGGGAGGCTTGCTTCCTCCTGGTCTTCTTCACTGCCTTCCTCTCTCTTCCCAGTCCGACTCTTGCCTGACTTCTGCCACAGTGGGCCAGCTAGGTTAGAGAGTTAAAGCCCCTGCATCTGAGTGGCTATTTCCTGGTGCAGGTTACCGGCGAGGAGCCGGGGACTGTGCCATGGACCTCAACTACTCGCCCTCTGAGCTTTATTCCCTGGAGGGTCGCTGGAGGCCAGCTCATGCCCCTTCCTTAAATGCCTGGCTTATGGGGCCTGGGAGGTGTATACCTTAAAGGCCTATGTCAGCGTGACCGCTGTTAAACTGGCACCTATCATCCTCCCGGGTACTCCTAGATCCACCTTTCCCCACCCGAGCCATGGGCAGAGGAGCCCTCAGTGCCTTGAGTCCGGATCGAGGCCACACCTCTCTGTCCCAGACCTCTGAGGAGGTCTTTCACTATGTTCCCATCTAAGGCGACTCTCCGCTTCGGTTAACGATGCTGGGGAGATCGTGAGGGGGACAGGAGAGAGTGCCTGGATGGGCTTCCTGATAAACAGTGGTCTTTTAGTGACTCCATAACCTTCCTAGAAAGGCACCTAGAGGATGCTGGAAGGAGTACCCACGCAGGCAGAGTGCACGTGGCCGCGCGGGTCTCCGCTTGGCCGGCAGGGACGCTTTCCTCTTCCTGGCGTCCCTGCAAGAAGCCTCCAGATTTGAAAATCAATTCAGCTCTGGGCATAATTGCGCCCCTGTCACAGTCACGCTCCAATCCGGAATTGAACCCGGGCCTTCAGCCTGGTGGGGACGCGTGGGGAGGCCCCCAGTGTGGGACACACACCCGGCTGCCACATGCCGCGGCTTTCTTTTATTTACAAAAGAAAGAAAGAAAAAAGTCCGTAACAAAAGGCAGAGCCTTGTCTGCTTAGGTGCTTTTATCCCTTGGAGAAAGGACAGATGTGCCCATTGTCAGGCCCTTGGCAGTTACGGCCGGGTCAGCGCCGAGCCTCAGCCCCGGGCTAGCGGTGTTCACAATAAGGATAGCCACAGAGCTGGGCTTTCAGGGCTCAGTTACTGAACAAAGTGTCTAAGGCCTGCTATGCGCCAAACACAGAGCCCACTGCTTGTGTTTCTTCCCTTTAACTGTTTTTCAGAGAGGCTAGGATTGAGTCGTGGTGGTGGGGTCTATGAGAAAAGTTTGGTATGGTGAACCCTGGGGCCGAAATCCCATCAGCTAAAGCACAAACGGGCTCATCTCCTTAGTCCAGGTCCCAGCCACCAACGGCTCAAGATCACTCCAGGTCAGTCAAGGTCAGTGGGTACACCGAAACTTCCTAGAACTCTGGGTTCTGGGACTGACTAAATCTGCTGGGTCACATCATCAAAAAGGTCCCATCCTACCCAAACAACTCCTATGGATCCTGCTTCTTGTCCACTTGGTCATGATCATTTAGGAATCTGGAGCACCCTGCCCTGCCCGGAAAAAGTCTTTTCTGCGGGGGAGGGGAATACACTAGCCAAAAACGAAACTACGTTAATTTAACTTATTTTTAATCATCTCTTCAGACACATTCAAGCATAAAATATTTTCTATCTAGTGAACCAGCTTCAGAAGCCAAATCCATGTTTCTTTATTATTTTTGAACTCTTTCCTGTAGTACTTGCCTCTCATTTAGACCAAAGAATGAGTTAATCTAAGATCAACTGTTTCTGCCACCATATTTTAATCCCATTGAAATGATTGATCTGCCCTTATGATCATCTCTTCTTGAAAGACGGTTTGTTTAAAAAATGAAAGAAATTAGTAAACAAATTGTTCATGCTGTTCTTCCTCTAGTCAACGGAGACTTGATCTTGGAAGTCCTCCTCCATGGAGAGTCCTGGCCGAGGCCCTGGAGCCCACCTGAATTAGGGTAGGATACACGGAGTTCAACTCTGCCCATACAGCAAGGGGCTTTGTCAAAAGGTGGCTTGTTTAGGCTTTGGTTCCCAAATCTCGCTTTCTTCCTCCTCCTCCTGTTCCTGTTCCTCTACTTCACACCTTTTACTGAAACACTTTTCCTGTAGTCGGTGAGTCAGAAGAAAGGTGTTTTTGACCTCTCAGAAGCATTTCCTGGTGTGTAGAAAGGATGTTTTTCTCTGGCCTCTGAGGGATTGTCAAATGCTGGGGGACTGTGGTTACCTTTTGTTATTTTTGTCTTCTTTTCTTCTTTGAGTACCCAGAATAAAGCTTGGCACATAGGTAGACTCTGAGGGGTGAGAGGATTAGCTTCTGTGGACCAATTTCTTGAAACTGGAGAGGTGTGTGAGGTGCAGGGAAGGGTTATACTTAACGGCTTCAGTTCTAAGCAACTGCAGGAGAATTAAAGAAAAAATAGTGTCAAAAATTATATGAAAATACGTGTCTAAAAAAAACAGTGGCTAAAGGCTCAACTAGATGCTTGTTGCAGTATTTTCATGTTGGAAACCAGCTTTTGTGATACTGGGGCTTGAACCTAGGACCTTAAGCTAGGCAAAGACTCTATCATTGATGTTTATTTTGTAAATGTCTTAAGTGTCTGGGAGTGGGTGGGTAAATGAAATTTGTCCTTGGCTAAATAGGTTTCAGTTAGCAAGGAAACACCATCAGACTTGGGGGAAAGGACACACAAGGTTTTCTAAGAATGGCTTAGTTTTCTTTGTGAGCAGTAGAGATGTAACATATGGACCATTCAAAAGAAATGTTTCTAGGCTCTCTGGGCCATCAGGTGCTCAGTTCCCCTTTGGTGTCTGGGAGTCCTGGGATTCAGCAAATGTTCCTACCCAGGGCTTTAGGGTGAGAGACCCTTGGTTACAGCTTTGGAAGCCCTCCAGCGTTTCTGAAGCTTGCAGAAGCTAGCCTGAGGAGGGACATGTGGGTGGCATCTGGGTACAGAAGAACCCTTGGTAAATGAGGTGAAACTTTTGATTCTAGTTACTCTCAGCAGGATTTTACTGTCTTCCTCTGGAGTCTTTCCATCTCTGGAGAAGACATTCAGAAAATTGCTTTTGGTGCTTAGGATAGACAAGAATTTTAGAACAAGCAGTCTGATGATGTATTACTGAAAAAATTAAAACAACAAATTAATTCCCAGTTTCATGCAATGTGACATCCTCCTTCTACTCTGCCCGTCCCCCTCCCCCTTCACCACAGGGAAAAAGCTAGTAACTTCTCATCGGGTGGAGGAAGTGGTAACCAATGCTTCTAAAGCCCCCCTTTCAAACTTTGCTCCTTTATTCACTGTCTGTATGGTTTTCATTCAGGCTAATCTCTCTCCTCCCTTTCCTTCCTAAATATTGTTTTGCACCCGAAAATGATTTTAAACCCAGCATTTTTGCAACACTCACTCTTTCATCTTATACCCCCCCCCCCATTTTCAAAGAAGATGCCTGTGGAAGGGCGGTCAGCTCTCTCTAACCCCACCTAACATGGAGTTCCAGGAACTGCTTGGAGCCGTCTTGGTGGCGGTCAGAGAACTGAGGATGCGGAGAGCATATCTGGTTACTTCCTGGGCAAGGAAGAAAACCTCCTCCTCTCCTGGGGCCCTGTGTGAACTATCAGCGGATTCTTCTGGGGGTCGCCTACTTTGGCAAAGGCTCTTCAAGTCTTCAGGCCAAGAACGCTGAAGGTGTCACAGTGACTGTGGGACTGACGCGAGAGGCTTCTAGCTCCTAGATAAAGTTAGCCTCACTCCCCGGAAATTGGCTTTTTGTAGTCTGACCTAGAGTGGGTTTTCTCTCTTGGACAGAATTTTATATTAACGGAGGAGGAAACCTGCCCACGATTGTGAGGCAGTCGGTGAGGAGACGATGAATCTTCCAGATTTGGGGCAGCGGTGAACACTATTTTTCCAGTCCTTTTGGAGGCCCGGGATGGATTAGCAGTGGCCTTCTGATGGTGGAGAGTGTCAAAGCTGGGAACTGAAGAGGAAGGGGTGAGAGAGAGGGCGCCATTCAAAGCAACTCAAAGTAAGGAAAACTCAGAGAGGTGGGCAGAGAGCCAATTGTACTAGCGATGCTTTCTAGTGCAATATTCTTTTCCGACGTTGGAGAGAAGTCACCAGCCACAGCCCAGCCGGGAGCCTCAGATGCACAGGACTGGGACCAGCCAACCTACCCCAAGCCGGGCCCAGTGCGCACGCCCACTTGGCGAACTCCACCGTCGCCCAGCAACGCCGACGCAGGCCCAGAACAGCTGCACTTGGGAAGGAGGAAAACTCTTTAAACAAATCATTTTGGTGTCTAATCAATTAGTGTTTGCTCAGTCAAGTACCATAGATTTAACAGAATAATCGTTACTGCCCTTGTCTTTATTTGACCCGCAGACACCTAGAA